TACCTAGTGTCATGCATACGTTCAGCATATGGGCAAAATTTTTGCTATCCTCAAAAGGAGAATGAATATGAACATGCATTTTGACTGACGTTACAAAGAGAAAGATATTCTGTACTAGGAGCATTTCTACAAGGGAAATGGCCCTACTCTTTGGTATTCCTGCTTATACACAACAGAGCTAGATTACAAAATGAATTCATCGCTTTGAAAACGCCACCAAGATCAACATTGACACGGAAACCACAATCTTGAAACCTGAAGTTTCCCAGAATTTCTGTTTCTCTGTGCCAACAGTTCCACCTTGTTTAGCTGCCAACTGATCTTTAAGTTCTTTTATGGCCCTGTCCCTATGCTCCCCCACCTGCCAAAATACTTATGATGAATTAATTGCATGACAGTGCAGTTGAAAGTAACTCACAAAAACACATAATAGTTTTGCAGAAACAGCACTGTGATTGACGACTACATAGCCTTGGGAGGTCAAGAAAATATATACAGCATATGCCACGTTTAGAGTTGGCCGAATACAAGACAACACAAACAGGTGCTTAGACGAACACAAGATAATTTTTTTCTTAAATCAGCAAACCCATAAGATTCTTTTACTAATTGGACCACCAAGTTGCTAGAACATTAGTGGCTTAGCATGGTAAAATGGGGCCACCCCACGCAAAAAGATAGAAATTCGCCTAACCGATCAAAAAGCATCGAAAAGTTGTTGAAGGCATTGGACAGAGGGAGCTGTCAAGCATTTCTGGCTATAAAGCAAAGATCAAACAAGGAGTATAAAACTATAGATGTGGAATTCTTATTAGTAGTAGACCTGCAACCATCTGTTTTAGAAAGGAAACAAGATATAAACATACCCTCTGTAGTTTTCTTGTCTGAGCACGAGCTTCCTGAAGACAGAATTCCAATTTCAGAACCCTCTTTTTTAGCTCTTGATCAGCTCGCCGCTGTTTCTCTAACTGCTCCATAGAATAAGTTGGACATAATGAATATGCTAATACAATGGACCATGCATAAAGAAAAGAATGAAAAGATTTGGATAAATTGAGTTTACTTGTGATTCCAATTCCTTAGTTTTTAGCTTCCAACGGCCAGATATAATCCTGATTTCATCTTTCAGTTTCATTATCTCTTCATCCTTAACAACCAGAAGTTTGTTAATCTTCTCAAAATTCTTAGGAGAAACCTCATCCAACAGTTTCCGGAGTTCATAGTCCTTGTTAGCTCCAGCCTTGGCAACAGCTTGCATAATATCATGTTCAATTCTCAGAACCTCATCTTTCAGTTGCTTTTGAGAAAATTCCCTCGCTAGGAGATCCTTCTGCAAAGTATTCAGTTGCTCTCCTAGTTTAGCCACACGATCCTCATGATCTTTCAAAGAACTGGTCTTCTCATCTAGTTCTTTCAACAGTGCTAAACACTGAAGCTGTGCCAAATGAGCTGATGCAGCATTTTCATCAGCAGTTGCTTGAGTGGCTGATAGTTGTAATCTAAGATCATCCAACTCTTTGAGGTACTGAGTCACAGTAGAAATCATATAAAAATCATAGAAATTGAAACACAAAAATAAATAAATAAATAAATAAAAAGACATGCCTTAAAGATAATAGATATTACAATCCAAAGGGTAAATGTTACTTTCCAAATGGTATATACTACTTAAAGAAAGAATGGAATCTGGAGGAAAATACCAAGCAACACATGAGGAAATCTGGATGTACGGTTTCTACCTAAAATAGTGGAATAGTGAATAAATCAAGGTTATCACATGAAAGAGGCCAAGGTGGACCATCATATGACAATATCTACTAGACATGACTTGCTATCAGATGGATGGAACTAACATTTTCAGGGGAGATTAAGTGGGGAAAAAATTCAATGGCTGCCTTACTAAGGGTCTGTTTGCTGTAGCTTCCCAAGTGCTTCAGTTTTTTTACACTATTTATTTTTCATAAGTTTAAATTTTCTTCCTAAAAACTTACATTTTTAAATATTTTTTTAACCTTAAGAAGACTCTAAATAGTAAAAAATCAAAAGTTTCAAATTCAAACTTTTTATAAACTTTTTTTTACTTACTTTTTCTTATCTCTAAAAGCAACTTTTAAATTTTCCCTCTAATAAAAAATTAAACTTATTACTCATGAACAGTACAAGAAAAACAAAAGCTCCAACAAGCTGCACCAAACAGGCCCTAAATAGACAAAGAGTTAATTAGCAAAACTGCAAAAAAGGCATCTTTCCAACCCAAATTAATGGAAAATTTTAAACTAGTAAAAGTTACTCTTATGAGTGGTAGAAGGTTTTCCCACCTCATCCTTCCGGAACATGCATTGAACATTAGCCTCAAAGAACTTAATAAGAGCCGAGAGAAATAAAAAGGTAATTACAACAAAATTTTGAATGACTGCACCAAATATCTAACTTAGAATAAAGAAACTGAAATTATGGCTACAAAAGGAGTTCCATTTATGACTTTAGAACTTATATTCAGAGTTAAGACAGTAAGTTCCTGAATCAATACAAGATTAAAAGGGGAACAATAAAATAATATCAAACATACACGGCCATCTTTCCTCTAAGGGCTCGGCTAAAAAGAAACAGAGGAAAAGCCAAAAGGAATCCTAGAACATGAGAAGATGCAAAAGGGAAAAACCATGGCAGGACAGACAAACTCAGTCAATGCAACACACAACAAAATGATTATGGCAAAATATGTTCATTTGAAATGAAGAATAAGAAGGCAAGATCAGAACATAATCATTAGATCAGGTAGAAACAATTCGAGAAACTGGGATGTAAGGGGCACCTTCTCAGCTGTAGAAGTAGAAGTTAGAAGCTGCCCATTTCTCTCCTCTAACCTCTTCTGCAACATCTGAAATTCTTCTTCCAACCTCTTTGCCTTTGACTCTGCTTCCTAAGAAAATACAAGCAAAAAAAGAAACAGACTTAATTCCAATTTTTTTAAAAGGAAATGACCCCACAAGCAAAAAGGCGCAAAAAGCATGAAATGATTGGATTCAAGATTGAATCCATAATAATCAAGCTTCAAGAATATCACAAACCTGTCTTGTTAGGGTTTCTTTAGCAAAACACTGCTCATGAGATGCTAGACGGCTCCTAACATCCTTCAACTCCGCCGCCAAAGACACCACGTTTCGCCTGAAACTCTGCTTCTTCTCATTCAAATCCTTCAACAACGGATCAATATCTCTAAGCACAACAGGTGAGGAGGAGGAGGATGCCTGTGACTTATCAGTTACCGACATCAGAGTTCTTGATCCAATATCCAGCCTGAAGTTGTTAAAGATCTGGTCTTGAGCGCTGTCACTGGATAAAGGCCTTGAAAAGAGAATTAGTGGCTTAAGCTCCTTGAGGTTGAAGTTATGGCCATGTTGACATCTGCGTGTGAAAATGGTAGTTATGTAATTAATTCAAATGGGGCTAACAAAAGATATCACCACAGATGAAAATAACGAGAGAAAAAAAAAAAAAAAGGATGGTAATTTTAAAAGCACTTCTATTGAACTAAACTAATCTCTAAGACTATTCAACATTTTCTCGAGAAAATCTGGTCCAAGGAAATTAAATACCTAACCGGTGCAGCGCTCTCTCCATCCTCACCACAACAATCAGTCTTGAATCATGCGGGCAGAGAGAGAGAGAGAAATAAAGACTCGTTAAAGGACCTGTCAATTTCTCCTAATAAATAAAAAGTACAGTAGAGTGAAAGACTATAGAGAGAGAAAGAGACATCATGCAAAAAGATTCAAAATTTAAACCAACTGGAGCAAAAATTTCAAACTTTAATATCTTTCAATTCCCAAAGTTACCCAACTACAGAAATGAAAAAAATTTTTCTCGAGAAAGTTGAAAGTCGCTGAAAAATTTTTCCCTCCCATTTCCCATTAATACAAACGCAAAACGCCAAGAAAAAAAAATTCAAACTTTGATTCCTGTTCAAGATACCCAAGTACAGAAATTAAATCTTTCCCCTTCCATTTCCCATAAACACACGCAGAAAACACTCAACAGGAATCAAAATCTAAAGAGAAATAAAATCAAAATCAGGGAGCTTAAGAGAAAGTATTTACCAGCACAAATGGATTCCCGATCCCTTCTCTTGATTATCTGTCACACTGGGCACATTTTCTCCCACCATCTGGGAATGCAAGTTGAGCAGCCCCAAGTGAGTGGTCGACTGGGGCGTCGGCGGTGATTTGATAATCGGATTAGGGAGATTACGAGATGAAGCGGCACCGGCAGCTTGCCATATATTTTTCATGCGCAAACGGAGGGATTGTTAGGTTCGGAGTTTAATAATTTTTTTTT